AGGATGTGACATAAGCAGATTGTTGTATCTTCATACATTTCACTTTATGAGTGTAAATTTTGGATACTTTACACTGTTAAGTTTTAATCCTCTTTTAGACTAAAAGGGGAAATGTAGGGGAACCTGTAGCCATGCCTGCTTAGGGGATGGCTACAGGTCTGCCTGACCATGCCTGCTAGGGCATGGTCAGGGTGACATAGAGTGAGAGGCGGTCAGTGGCTGGTCACTTTTGGCTTTTCTTTTTGGGCTTGCTGTACAAACTGCTGCCATGCCTGCTGGCTAGGTCGCTCTGTAAGTAAGGCTTTTCCCTATTAAATACCCTTATAATTTCTACTTGGCTCCATATTGGTCATTTTCCACTCTAGCCATTATACCTTTTTTAAAAGGTATTCAACTTTTCCTTTTTCAATGGCTCATTTCATATTTATACTTGGCTCCATATTGGTCATTTTCCACTCTAGCCATTATACCTTTTTTAAAAGGTATTCAACTTTTCCTTTTTCAATGGCTCATTTCATGTGCTCCCATAACCTCATGTAGCATCTATCTTTATCATCAAAGAAAGAGAAGCTTTTGAGATGTGCTATGGTCCACATTGGGCCATGAATACATGGACAATTTCATAAACTTAGTGAGTCAATATAATGATACTTCTATTTTATTCTCTTACCTGGCACCGTATTGGTATTTTCCCACATCACCTCTCCACTTCCTTAGTTACTTTACATAAAAGTTAGTTTCCTGAAACTGGAGAAAAACCCTCAAGCATTCTTATCAATCTATACTTATATAAGTACCATGTATCCTACTATTAGCAACATTTAAAAAGAGCTGCTTATTTGAAGTGAATAAGATTTAATTATTATTGGATTGAAATGGTCAAATATTGTTATTGCAAAATAAAATTCATAGAAATGAGAATCCCCACTGAGTCTGAGCAGCTTAGGAGCATTTGAGTGTCTTGTTCACCTTTTCTTTCATTAAGCATGCTCTGAGTGACTAGTGCAGGCATTTCCACAGCACAGGGAATACCAAAGCATATCCTCAGGCCATTCTGGATCCTACAGCTGCTCCTCATGACTCAAATTGTCTATGTTCTCCATTCTATCTAAGTACAATTTGACTCAAAACAAGAACTTTGTTCTGAATTATGACTCACTGGGGTAGGAATTCTTGACATGTCAACATGAGGACCTGAATGAAAAAACTCCAAAACCACATAGAAAAATTAGATGTGTAGTGTGAGTATCAGTAAACCTAGTCCTCTGGGAAATGAGATGCAGAAACAGAACAGTACCCAAAAGCTCAAAGAGAATGTAAATGAAACTACTTGTACACTGGAGATTTTCCTGTGATCTTCACATGCAAAACATGACACAATCACCACACATTCACAAAAATTAATGCATAAACACACACTCACATATATGGTGTTACATTATTTATGATTCATTAAAGCTTTTCTGAGGATTCAGAAAGCAAAGTTAGCCTCAAGCTATAGAGATCAAGCAGAGGTGACACACACCTTTAATCCCAGCATTCAGAAGCTAGGAGGTGGTGGTACACCTTTAAACCAAGGACTCAAGTTTAAGAGCTAGATGGATCTTTGTTAGTTCAAGGTCACCCAGGGCTACACCAGATTGAATCAGTCTAAAAGAGTAATGGAGCTCACACCTTCAATCCCAGCAAAGAGAGGTCTAAAAGATTGGAGCAGGGTCTTCAGTAGTCAGTATCAAGCATTCATTCTCCTGTCACATTTAGGATAGGGAAAGATTAATTCTCCAGCTACTTTGAGGATAGGAAGATTTTCAGTATCAGGATTCTACAGCCACACCGAGGAGAGGCAGCAAGATAGCCCATTCAGTTTGAGGTAGTGGTAAGAGATAGAGACCACTGCTTTGCTTTTCTGATTTCAGCTTGAAGCTTCAACCCAATTATCTGTCTCCAGGTCTTTTATTTTTTGTGTTTTACACACACACACACACACACACACACACACACACACACACACACACACGTCCATGTTTACTTTTGAATGAATAAATAAATAAATGTTTTATAGAATCATTTTTACATGTTTCAACACATCTTGGGTTTGACATTTATGGGAAACTACTCTGGGTGGAGCTGTCCAAAACCTGAATCCCATTCTGCTGTCCAAAACCCCATAACATGTTTTAATGAGATTTTATTTGATGAAAAATCTTCTCACATAAAAACTTCAATAAATCTCAAGTGTGTTACTGATATTCTGCTTTTCCTAATAGGTTTAATATGTGAGCTAAATTATGAATTGAAACAGCAGGCTTAAAATTGGATCTGAATTCCTCCGTGCTTGCTGTCCATCACACATCGTGTGCCTGATTCCAAAGAAGCACAGTTGGAATTACGCCAAGGTGAGGCCCAGATGTTCAAGAACGCTCACTTTTCTTTCCAAAATTAAAAGAGAAACCCCCATTCTGGCAGATGAAACTTTAACAGTTGGCGAGAAGCCTCTTGGAGAGCACTGAGAAAAACAAAAATGATCATGCAACGCTGAGATTCTGTTTCATTATTCAGGCCCTAGTCTCAGCGGAAGCTTTACAAACATTAACTAACGCTCAGACACCTCCCTTGGAGGCTGTTCATCATCGACAGCTTTGTCTTCTCCTGTGGAAACCAAAGCATGGGGAAGTAGAAACTGATTGGGAAAGTTCATCAAAAAAGATATCAGTCACAAAAATCAGAAATCAACTTTTTCTAAGTTATAAATTCTGGTCACATCATTAAACTATTTGGCAATAAGGAATAAAATATTACCATCAAGTCATTTCATACTACAAAATTGCTAGTGTTATTTTTTAACTCTTAAATTTTAATCTGCTCAACTATAATTCTGAGTGTGTGTGTGTGTGTTTGTATGTGTGTATGCACACAGATATAATTATTCCTTCTTTGGGAAAAATATATTCTGTATCTTAGAAATTTCAATTTTGATGTAAAGTATGTTGGAATTGCTAGCATTCTAATAAAAAAAATCCACAAGTTTTTTTTTTCATGTTGTAGGCAGGCTTTCCACACCACTGCTGAATTTCATTTGATAAATTAACATAAAAAACTTGTAGCAGAATATCAATAATCTACAACCTGCCTTACTTATACTACAATATTTTTTTTTGTTATTTACGTTATTTGAGTACTGCTTCTGTGAGAACTTTTGAAGACAAATCTCACTTAATTTATATTAATTTTAATAGAAAAGAATTGTAGCTTTGACCCGTGGGACAGTGGTGAGGGGAAACATTGCAAACTTTTTGTGTTACTCCACTACCCTCCTCCTCCACCTGCATCATGAAGTCTACTTTAAAGAGTTTTTAAAAAACACATTACATTTTTCAAATGTGTAATCATAATATTACATATTAGCATTTATAAACAATTTGTAAACTCATATCTGTGGCTCTGTTAATTTCAACTCTAGAAAATCACTAAGCTTGTAATGAAGAGTAGGCAAGTAAATGCAAGCTTGCATCTGTAGGAATGGCTCACCATTTCTGGGTCTGCTACTATAGGCCACTCAATAACGTTTAACTACACAATAATGTTCTATAAACCCAGAATTTTTCCAAAGTCTAATCAGTTATTCTTTTCATCCCTTTTCCATTTGGATGAATTAACTTCTGCATCTATAACCCAAAGGAAAGTCTGCAATGGAGATATGTGACTGTTGTCAGGGTATCTATTGGTCATTGTTCAGAGAGGTTCACATTAATCCTTATCCAATATACATAGCTACATAAAGTATGGAAGTGTTATGCAATGTGTGTGAAGGAGAGGTTCCTAGCTTTGTCATGAGTCATGGGTTAGGTATAAAGTTAGAGAGGAATTAAAGGTTTTTGACACTTTCTGCTTCATAGTTTGCTCTGTTCTTTAAAAAGCTACTAACTTTTATGCAATACATTTAATTTTGTAGAGGTTAAAATTATTCCTAAGTATAAATTTTTTAATATATTCTAGGCTTTTGAATTATCAATGTGGCTTTCCCACTAGTTTATGGACGTATTGTATTCATATGTAGTTTAAACCTTCCAATATTAACTGATATACATAATCCAAAATGAATAATTCATCCACCCAACAAAACAGTATAGATTCTTAATAATGCTATAAAATATCAATTTTATGGCTATAAGCAGTACATAAGCCATGGTCCTTGTCTTCAGTTATTTGTTTCTGATTAATACTTTATAATTTAAAGGTGGAAGTAAGGAGAAACTGTGCTTATTTAATGTGTATATTTTCTCTTTTTGTACATTTTTTATTTAAACTAGAAACAATATTATTTTACATATCAATCCCAGTTCCCTCTCCCTCTCATCCTCCCATGTACCCTACCGATCCCCCATCCCATTCCCCTTCTGCTCCCCAGGGAGGGTGAGGTCTTCCATGGGGGAATCATTAAAGTCTGTCATCATTTGGGGCAGGGCCTAGACCCTCCCCCATGTGTCTAGGATGTAAGAGTATATCTCTATGGGGAATGGGCTCACAAAGTCCATTAGTACACTAGGGATGAATACTGATGCACTACCAGAGGCCCCATAGACTGCCCAGGCTTCCTAACAGATACCCATGTTCAGGGTGTCTAGATTGGTCCTCTGCTGGTTTCCCAGATGCCAGTCTAGGTTCCACAAGCTCCCCCTTGTTCGGGTCAGCTGTTTCTGTGGGTTTACCTAGCCTGTTCTTGACCCCTTTGCTTATCACTTCTCCCTCTCTACAACTGTGTATATTGAACATCTCAAAAAGAACAGATTTCTACAACTATGGAAAGTTCAGAAAAGTTTCAAAATTATTCCAAATCAGAGTGTTATTTCATATCTTCTTTACATGCAAATGAGGTTTTAAGTTCATGTAGGTAATTAACACATTTAAAATTGCTAGTACATTTGTTCCTTTAATTATTATCAAAATGAAGAAAAATTACAATACTCCTTTATTAGGCATAGACTAAAGTACCAGCATAATTATTTAGCTACAGAAAATGTTTTAGATCAATGAGTATTTTATGTGATGATATATAAACATTAACATTATGTTCTTGAAGTTTGATATTTTCTTTGTGTGGGGGAAAAAGAATTCACTTTAACTCCAAGCTATGTTAATGCCACATGAGAACTGGCTAGAATTCTCAAGATCCTTCAGAAGAGTTGTTGTAGAAGATATTACACATTTCTAAAAGAGCATACACTCTTGACCAAGTTACAGTGATGTCACCTAATGAATTTTGAGTCCCACCCACTCCCATGCAACCAGTAGCTTGAAATAGTATGTCCTGTTGTCTTTCTCACTGCTTGTATTAACTTTGTTAGAATCATTTATTTTCTTTGCATTTAAATAGACTCAACCAATAGAGCTTCCATTTTTCATTGAATGCACAAAGCATCTAATTTTAGTAACTCATCTGAGAATAATAGCAATTTAATATATGAAAGATCAATTTTACACATATCCAGATTTGCCCAACAAACATGTGATGTTCTAGCTTCATTCTGATACTTTGTGTACAATGTCAAGAATCTCCAAAAGAAAATAATCTTTATTCTTGCTTTAGCCAATAAATACCTTAACTTCTGCAATAACTGCATAGACCCTATATCAAAAACTGATGAGTTCATCTGATATGTTTCTGTTGCATACATTAAAAAGTTAGGCAATTTCCTGAGATATTTTAAACATACATTTCTCCGACTAAAATGCTTTTATCCCACTACTATAGAGTTAGTGAGCAGTACCATCTTACTGTGTTAGTTCCAATAAGAAGGGTGAAGTAAGCAAGACTCAGATGACAAGATCATTATAGCAAAGAAAATTACTGACAGCTCTGGAATCAAACTCAGAAACTCTTGGCTCACTTGCCAATGGTTCCCATATCTGTTGAGAGTAAAAGACTACGCAGTGATCTGACTGTAAATTTTTAACAGGGCCCCTCATCACGACACCTGAATCATCTTTCACTTACAAACAGAAAAGAGCAATGACAGCAGACACTTCAATATCTTATTCTTTTGGGGATTCTGGGAAATAACAATTCCTCTGTTGTGCTGGCATAAAAACCTTAAGTGGACATGTTTCCAAGTATGAAGTGGCTCAAAGAGCTAACTCAAACATCACATGACATATTGCTGAGAAAGCTTCAAGGGAATTTGGGACTTGGATTGTACTGGGAAAAGAAATCCTCTACTAGTCCATCTGGCTGTAAACATTTTACAAAGTTTTTCTTTGTTTTTTGTCCATAGGGGAGCTTGTAATTTGAAATATTTCACTTTAGTAGAAGGATAATTGTGTAATTTTAGAAATGATTATAAAAGGAGGTCTGTGTAGCCTCAAATTATTGAATTAGGACACCTAATAACAACTCTGCTCTCACTCTTAGGACTGTAGTTGATTCTGCTCATCATATACAGTGTTCATTCATACGACAGTGATATACTGTAGATGTCAGTACCACAAACACCCTGGTGGTTACAACTTTTACGTCTTGAAACTAAATTCATCTATAACTTAACTGAACATGATAAAAACACATTCAGATCCAGTCAAATAAAATTCAAGATGAGGTTATATGCATACTTTCAGGTTAATAATTTGATGAAATTTCCAAATTTATACATGCACACAGACATATCACACACAGAGAGAGAATGAGGGCGAGAGAGGCTGAGAGAGACACACACACACAGAGAGAGAGTGAGGGTGAGAGTAAGAGAGATTTAAAGTAAATTTTAAGAAACAGCTCAGTGGTTTGGGGTGCTATCTGCTCTTCAAGAGGACCCAAATTTATTCCACTGCCTGCAGGCAGCTCATAGTCTCTATTGCCCCTGCTCTAGAGAGAAACATTCTCTTCCATGTTCTGCAGGCACTTGAACATAGTGTGTATACTCACATACACATGCATATAAATTAAAATTATAGCCAGATTGTAGCTTCCCTTATACATAAGCTATTAATATGATTGGTTTTATTAGTAATGTATCATCAACGTTTTGACTATTAAATAAAGTCACTTTTACAAAAGAATGCGTTTTGGAAATTAGGGCTTGACAAGATTGGGGCATGAAGAGATGGATAAGGATCAGGAGGCAAGGGATTCAGCAATGAAAGGAAGGGTTCAGTCATAATCATGTCCTTATTCACATTGTGGCTTTTAATGCTAGAAGAGCAAGAATGAAAAAAGATCACAGAGTAATGAGTTAGAGGTGAAGGTAAATGACAACAGACATTGGGGAAAATAGTCTTGATCTACAAATTGTATGGAGTAGAAGTTCTAAATCCCCACATCCACTCTTACTCTAAGCTATATGAAGTGGTGTAAGTGCACAGGGAAGTACTTAGACAGTACTTACATGAGAGCAGCATGAATGGTAGTCATGTGATTCATGTTTGGAGGAGTGCATCCCTTTAACTGACCTGCATGTGTTTCCACAGCACACAAAGAGCTGAGCTCTTATTGCACATGGACCCCAGGTATGCACACAAGATATACCTACATGATATACTGTGCCTCAATTGCTGATTTCCTGCCAAGAGAGAAAACATCCAGTACACATAAGTATGGTGCTTGTAGTTTAGACTGTATTTCCCCCTTGAATTTCACCTTCGTTCCATATTAGTATTAAAATATTCCTTTCTGTGAGTTTCAAAGAACCTTGCTCAGAGCAACGTCTTGACTGTCTATCAGTGGGTTGATGTTCTCCTCTGCCTTAATGGCAGCTTCTCTGGGGTGTTTTCTCGGCAGTAAGTGCAAAAGGAATATACAAAAAAGTATTATTTCTCAGGTATCCATTCTGTGCACTGTCTTAGGCTAATAAAATATTCATAAGGTTATTTTAGATATTCATAAAAAACAGGTCAAATTACAATAAGTATTTTGAAGGTATGTATCTCTCATATAGACCCAATTTCTCCTAGTAGAAAAATAAAGGATAATTGCACTATACAGTTTATTATAAGATACAAAGTGACAAGTATTTATTTGTAGCCCATATGTAGGATACATATGTCTATTTTATTTCACAACTTTTTTCTACATTAACACTTATACTGATCTTCTTTTTATGTTTATCAGGCAATTAAACACATGTTCTGTCTTCTGGCAAGGTGAATAAAAATTAAATATTCATTTAAATAATCTCCATGCTGATGTTCAACAATCCACATCTAAAATATTATTAACATGTTAAATTATTAACTCTAACTCACAGGACCAAACTTTCAGCTTGTAAAAGTCATGGAGGTAAGTCATGGAAATATAAGTGTTTTTTTTTTAGCTTTTTATGTTATGAATTTAATTTTAAAAGGTATGTAAATTTAATTCACATAAAACACCGTCATAAGTAGATAATTATTTTACTTTGCAAAAGCAAAATAAGTGTCTTTTAATTTTCAATAATAAATAATAATGTTCTATTAATACAATTGAATGTTTAATTTCAATTTTTCTTAATGAGAAGGCTTCTTATACTTCTTAAATCTTAAATAAACATTAGATATAGTATCCTTGTTTTTAAGCTTTGTTTGCCCTGTGTACTTATTTATAAAAGGAGAACATATGTTGGTCATAATAATATTGAAATAATAGCAATTGTATTCATGAGAAACAATTTGATACTTTTAAATAATTGTTTTTGCTCATTATAAGCCATGAGTGTGGATACCAAAATAATGTCTTAGTAACTGTAATATTGACAAGGAATTAAAAGATTCATCAAATACTAGAAATGTGCCCACTAATAACTTGTAAATCTTTTCACCCAGGGCCAAACTCTACTCTCTGGCAAGCAAGCATGATCTTTTCTACAATGTCTAATACAAACTCTAGCACTCAAATAAACGATAACATTTGAAAATGTAAATGTACTTCTCTTCAGGGAAGATCAAATGTAACTCTTGTTTAATTCATGTCATGAATATACTTTTCATTCCAAATATTCTTTCAAGATGTTTTCCTGGTAAAACTCAGATATCACGATATACATAAGTATATAAGAAATGAGTATGAAAAAGTGTTTTGGAGAAGTTTTACACTTTGCAAGTCCTTTAATGAGAGTTGGAAACACCACCCACTATACGTGTGAGCCCATGTGAACTGGGACTCATTTTAATGCAATCATCATGCACACACCTCATTTGTAAAATTACTGTGAGCAGCTTAAGTTCCTCATCTGTCACTTAAGGTTGAAGTTACTGTAAAGCACTCTGCAGCACAAGATGTCATCATGCTTTTCTTAACTTTCAGTACTGCAGAGTGTCCATACTTAACAGTATGAATGGGTTCTCACAATTGCATTAAGACAAAAATTTGCTGTGCTAGGGGCTGGCCATGCCTGTCATCAGTTGTCCTGGCGTACTCCTGTCTGTGGAACTGTGAAATGACAGATGTCCTGCAGAAGATAGCTTTCAGGCATGCAGCATCATTTTTTTATTGCAATGGCCAATAGGTGTCCTCTAGCTGGCAGATTGCTGATTAATTGTTATGGTAAAATCAGTGGGGAGACATATGTCTGCTTGCAAGTATAAATTCAACAGAACACAGTACCCTGAGTCTGTGTAAAACACAGGAAGGCACAAAGCAAACATTTTCTGAGCAAAGGAACAGCAAAATTTTTGAAGATCAAAATGCAAAAAATACAATTACTTATTTATAACTTCTCAGTGTTTTTCCACCACTCATTTTTTGTGCTTCTGTACAGCTTTGAGAACAGCTTGAGATACTATGATGAAACTAGCAATCTTTTCATATCTCAGCTGTGTTCAAGACTTAAAAATTCTTACTTGTAGCTTATGTTGCAAGGATTTCTTGAAATTTCTAGAAATATTAAAGTTGATTTCAGATGCTGTGTTAAATTTTTGCTGCTATGTTGAAAGATGCTGCAATTTGTTAGCACACTGAATGCTTTGTACTATTAGTTCATATTTATTTTTACAATGATTAAAAGTATTTTTGCCAACATGCAGGGTTTTTCGTTCTACAATAAGCTTATGTTTATGTAAATATACATCAATGTTAATAAAGTATTTGGATGATCATTACTGTAATGATTTTTCTCTGATCTGGTCAAAAGTATGTTGGATATTAATAATTTGCATGTGTGTGCTTCTAAAGGAGATTCCTTGATTTCTTTCTATTTTACTTTTAAATTTATTCTGTACTTGATGGAGACATTCTATACATTTGTACCCTCAATCGTCTTTGATTATATTTCTGCTTATATTCTACAATGCAATTTGAGATATAAAATCTGAATTATCTAACATTAGCAGTCTAGTCATTGGCAAATCACTTCCATCTCTACAAGTGAACAGATGGCCTCCTTAGCTATGTCATTAGGAAAGGATGTAGTTGAAAGGTGGGAAACATTATAAGGAATAAGCTGTGTCCTTGTATTTCTTTGAAATATTCTCATCGAAAAGTTATATCTCCAAATCACATTAGAAATTCTGAAGAACCTCTATGTTAAATATTACAGGGCAGACCCAATTCACATCTTAGCATTTTCTGTGTTCATTGGTATTGGGGAAGCTCCTTGTGAAGTCTTATACTGTTAATAGCATTTAGTATAAAATTAGTGAATTATTTTCTTTTGGTGTAATTAGAATGTCAAGTACAAAATAAAAGGAAAAAATTCTTGTTGCATTTTAAAATCACTTAATTATTTAAGAATTTCAGCAGTTACCAAAGCAATGCCTAATTTAATGAGTTCAATAATAAGTACCTAATAGAATGGTAAACATGCATGACTCACACATTCTATACACAAGTCTTACCATGATGGAACTTGTGGCCGATATGTGACATACATTCAGAAATCATTCATATAAATACTAGTAAATCTATCTTCTGGAATGTTTAGAAACCATGCTGTAGAGACACAGAAATATTTTGGTTTGCATCACTAAAGACAAGACTTGTAGATTTTTAGGGAGAAATATTATTCTAGTATATTTTAAATAACACCAAGTAGAAAAATATACTTCTCTTTTCAGTTATAAGAAATTATTTTTTTGTCCTTAGCAACACATAGCATAAATGTGATTACAACAATCAATAGGATGTTTCTTAGTTTTGCTTTCTCTAGTATTATTTGTTTTGTTATGGTTAAGTTTTTAATATGTGTGATGCTAGAGCTCAAACATTTATTTACATGTATGAAATACTCTGTACATCTGATCTATTACTCCACGTTAATTAAATATTTCAAAATAGTAGAAAGAAGTTTACTGTTCTCAGCACAAACAGCATGTTTGAGTTGATAGATACATCAATACCATGGTTTGATCACTGCATATATATTGAAATGTGACAATACATGATATATGTACCAAATAAATATGCACAGTTGCTATATACACATAAAATAATTCAAAATCATGTTGCTTGTCTACTATCTATATTCCCACAATTCTTATTATCATAACACTGCCACTAACATTTATCTACCTCTGTTTTTTTGTCTTCAGCTGTCTGAACACAGGACAGCAGATGCTAATGGTTTGATTTCCCACAGGCTAAATGACAGCTTTCTTATCCATGAATCTATGTGTATCAGCACAAGATGAAGTGCTTTTATTTTGGTGTGTGTATTTATATTCATTATATAGAGATCCTGAACATAACACTGTCACAACACAGCAATTTCAATGAACTCAAGGCCATGAATCTCATGGCTATCATTTCCACATGACCATGGAAGCAACAATACCTAACTATACACTGAATTTAATTATTTCATTTTAACTATGATGTGCAAAAATTGAACAAACTCGATAGCAAAGATTAGAAAAATTAGAGTTATTTTAAAAATAATTTCTTCAGGTTTAAAAGTAGCCCTATTAAGGGAATTTACTCATTCAGAGAGAACCACAGTCTTCCCATGGCCAATCCAAGTTTAATCGTTGGGCTTTGGGAGAACTGCTAACAACCGGTAACTAGTCTTTTCAGTATAAACAAAGCCTCAAAACACATGATATGGGGAAAACAATGAAATGTGGATAATAGTATGTTTTAGTTGCATTATGATATTGTTTGGTTTTTCTGTTCTTGAAATATGTAAATATGGATTTTTTTAAAGAATTGGTTGAAAGTTCAAGGTTTGATGCTAGCTCTAGTAAGAATCTCATGACCTATAACGTCAAAATGATAATGAGGGTGTGGGGAAGTGATAGCATTTAAATATAAGAAGACAAAGGAATGGGGTATAGTGGGAAATTACCAATATGGAGTCAGGTAGAAATATAAGGGTATTTAATAGGGAAAAGCCTTACTTACAGAGCGACCTAGCCAGCCAGCGTGGCAGCAGTCTGTCCAGCAAGAACCAAAGTGAAACTGAAAGAGCAAACGCAGTCACACTACGTCACCCTGACCACGCCCTCACAAGCGTGGTCAGGCACACCTGTAGCCAGCCCCTAAGTAGGCGTGGCTATAGCTTCCACTACAATGGGGGATGGACTTTTTTTTCCCATTCAAACCTTTCTTGTGAAACAAATCAGGGTCTCATGAATCTCCCCCAGTGCACACTGAAGCCACCTACTAGAAGTTTATGGACCTGCTCAATGTCCAACTTTCAAAGGACAATACTTCCTTACATTATTTCAATAAGGACCAAATATTGAATTCATGAACTCTTAGGAGACAAAACATCTAATGAATAGTAACTAAGTTCCTAATATTAATTTTATGGGCCACTAAAGAGAAAATAAAGATGACTCCATCATTAAATATTGGAGGTTAGATACTCTTTCTGGCAAAAAAATTTAATGTGCCATGGAGAATTTTGGAAGAGGGAGAAAATTCACCAGAAGAAGAGATAAAAAGCAAAATCCCTTAATAAGAGGATAGAAGTTTGCCTGAGAAGATGGGGATGCCTTTAAGTCTTCACTAAAGGCCAACGGGAAAAAAGAGGAGAAGGAGCAAGTCAATGCGTTAAATAATGTGATGAAGGAGAATGGGAAAAGATGATGCACTGGGAAGAGTAATAAGAAAATCTATATCTACATGGACTCTTATGGCTTAAAAATATTCAACAATTGAGAGAGAGAAGTAGCAGGGAACCCAGGAGAAGAGATCACTGGGAGAAGATAGGAGCGAAGGGGAGGGGAGATGATGGGGGAGGGGATGGGAGGAGAGGATGGCACATAAGGGGGCACAACAGAAGAGAATAGAAAGAAATGTAGAGTCATATAAACCTATCGCCTACACAGTTTGAGCTTGAAACATGACTTCAACTCTAAGGTCTTACCCCAACCACAATGTTATTGCAGATACTAAGAGAAGAAGGATGCAGTGACACTGTGTCATTTAATCAGTAGAATGCACAGTGGAGCCAGGCTGTGAAATTGTGTGGTGTCCCTCACAGTTGAGTTACATGCACACCACAGTTATAATAGGAATCAAGTTTAGCCTATTTTCTGACTCTGGGTATTGGAAAACATGAACAGTGATTGACCTGTTCAAATAATTTATGTTTTAATTGAAGATAATTATAATAGCCCATAGCATTGCATGGTAAACCCAGTTTGAATGACAAAAGATAAATTTAGAAGATTAAGTTTTGCACGAGATTAATAGTTCTTATGGTGAACAGAAGAAGGATTGCCAGGTGTAGTCAGTTAGTAGTTGCTTTAATGTGGCCCTTAGGTGACTGAGGGAGGTTATACGTTCTTTAAGCTTGCTTAGGCACTAAGCCCTTCAGGGACATCTCTGATAAAAATGCAAATTATACTATTTGTCTAGTATTAACTTGGTTCTCGAGTCCCAAATGAGGACTAATATTAATTTTATTTTTGTTTTGTTTTGAATCCTCCACAGAATGAATTTCTGGGTTTTGAGGTAAACATCCTGTTTTAAAACGCTTTTTCAGTTCCCCTCCATCGTTCTTGAATGCACTTTTTTTTTATTAGTTCTAGTTAGGGAACAAGCTTGTTTCACATGTAGGCAGGGTAGGCCCCTCAATAGGGGCTCTGCAAAGTCCACCAAATCTTCCTGTGCTGGTCCTGGGCCCCTCCCCATGTGTCCAGGGCCAGAGTATAACCGTTCATTCCACCCGTGGGATGGGCTCTCAAAGTCCCTTCTTGCACCAGGGAAAAATATTAATCCACCACCAGAGGCTCCCTGGAGTGCTGAGGCCTCCTTATTGACGTCCATGTTCATGGGTCTGGATCAGTCTTGTACTGGCCTCCCCGACAGCATCTGGGGTCGATGTGTTCTCCCTTGTTCAGGCCAATTGTTCCTGTGGGTTTCTCCAATCTGGTACAGACCCCTTCACTCTTCATTCCTCCCTCTCGTCAACTAAATTCCCGATTTCAGCTCAGTGTATATCTGTGGATGTCTGTCTCTGCTTCCATCAGCCACTGGATGAGGGCTCCTGGTGTAATCAGTCAGAGGAAAGGGCAAATGCACTGGTTTTATAATGGCTATGCCTTCAGTATCTCCAACATTCTGATTCAATTCTAATTCCCTGTTTACTTCTGGATCTCTTTTAGCTGTGTCAACACTTGGGGTTGAAACACCAGAGTCAGATGGGTTTGGTGATGTGAACTGAGAATTTCAGCATTTCAGACCAGTGAGATCACGAACTCCAGACTCAGCTACATAGTAAAATCCTTGGAGAAGAGGGCAAAGATAGGAGAGAAAGAAAGTAAAAAAAAATAAACTGATTACTCTTAACTTTGTGAATATTGACCTTTGAGATTCTGTCCTTGAAAGCTGGCCTAACTTTTTTTTTTGACATGTGAAATTTGTAATGAGTCTATGACCAACAGCACACTTTTTTTATCTGTACTTTTAGTCGATTGTTACTCATAATAGTAAGCTACTAGAAATAGATGAAATGGACAACCATGGGCAACCCAATGGATCTGTCCTTGTACAGTGTTATAAGTGGCTTTATTATTATTTGATTTTTCCAGAGAAAATTCCCTTGAGAGTTTAGCTGGTAAACAAGGAATGTGAGTCAAGGAAGCCTCACTCAGAATCAGTTTTTCTCCAACTCTGTCATTAATAATAAATATAGAGATTTTACAAAAGATTTAACTCCCTTCCTTACAAGTTCAAACCCTATCTGAACATGATGTTCATTGTCCAAATATCGTTTTCTTTGATGACTGCAAATTGAAATTGCATTTAGTTGGAGTCTTGACCATGAATAAATTTGCTTGACTAAAGCAAAGATGAAGTTCAGAAAGGGAACTTCAAAGGGAATGACTACTTCTGACACCCTTTCCACATGCAAACCGTCTCTGTTCACAGTGGCTAATTGCTGTCCACACTCCAGGGGAGATTTCAGGGCATCTGCACTTTTACAAACAAGGTAAAACTATGGAAGAATGAAAGGTTCCAACATAAATTGAGAACGTTCATTTATGTTTGACTCTATAGCTATGCAACAGAAATTGTATTTCAAACAAAAACCGTTCCATGGCACGATGCTTCATAAAGTTTCTTGGTATACATGAAAAGTGGTTTATGAATTAAATAGTAAATTTAATAAAGAATCATTTTTAGTCACAAAGGAATTATGAATTTGTGAATTTTGATAGAATGATCCTTTAGCTGAAGCTAAATTTTGAAGCCCTTTAAAGGTTAAAAGTTAAACTTTAGAGTAATCTTCACTATTTCAATAACCATTACTCCTTTCTGTGGTATATAATTCATTCCTACAAACTGTTACTTGATACAGCCTAATAGTCAAGATGCCATGAGAGTCTATCCTTTCTCCAGACTCCAGCTGTTTAACCCCTTTTGACACTTGATAAAAAATAGTTTAACAGCCAAAAAACCAAAACCTATGCATTTTCTGCCATGTTTCCACATTATATCTCAATAACTTACTACTGAGAAATGTCAAATAATAAACACACATCTCCAGAGGTGAGAATTGTCAAGAGTCTTTTTCTTCTTCCCTTTAATAAAACAGACCCTGCATAGACTTCTTGTTCTGTACATAACAGATGAGAACCTATACTTTCTTACATCCCAGAGAATAATTATTTTTCTCATGAAAGGAGTTAATAAAAAGTGCATAGCCACACTAAATTCTGTAAGTGTCAGCATTAGATTGAAAACTATGAGACTTTCTATCAGGGTTTTTTCGGAAGATGAATTGTGGCTATAGAGGAAGAATATTAACCTGGCTTCATATATAGTGTACATGAGGCAAATTCAGCTGTTGCCAATAAACAGGGCACCTTGATTTCATTAAGTACACTGCACCTAAAATTCCTGCAAATATCTCTTTTTAAATTCTGCCTGGAAATCCTGTCTGGCCAACATGAAGGAGTCACAGATTGAAATGAATTCTCACACTCTTTTCTTTCATTACAATTGTGCTCATTTTCCTCCAGAAACTATGTAAGACTGTGTTCTTCAATGAAAATCATTGAGGTGAAAATGTGAATGTTGAGGAATATCCTGCAGAGCTAAACCTGACCCTCAGATGCCACAGATTATCTGAAACCTAAGAATGGGTACCTTTCCCAATGCCATGCTGTGATGTGGTTTCCAAGACAGCAACCACCTGACATATCTTTTGTTACTCACACCCTGCTCCTAGAGTTCAAATTGCATCACCTATTAACTTTTATTTTCCTACCCAATGCCCCAAATTCAAGGATTTATAAACAAGAATAGAAATTCAATATTTGCTGCAAATAAAATAGAAATTGATACTTAAGTTAAGGCACATAGTCTGATTCTTCTAATGGAAATATACTCACCCTAAAATCACCATCACAAAACTACTAAACCAGAAATGACCACCAAAGATACATAGCATAGAAATTAGTCCCACATCTCAGAAAAGCCCTCAGTGAAACATGCCCCCTGACATCATAATTGCAAAGAACAGCAAGTTTTCATTAACAAGCCCAAATAATCTTCCCATGAAGTAGAGTAGAGTAGTGAAATGGGTGTCCTTGTAAACCACACTTCCTATCCTCAGTGTTGTTATTTGTGAAATTGATCCACAGTGTGGCATGTCTGTGGTTTACATGCCTACACTTGTTCAATATTCCATTTTATGGATTTTTGGACTATTACTCTACTGTTTGCAATTGTTGGGGAATTATTTTATTAAAGGCTACTGCAAACCCTTTCATACACTAATGATATGAGTATTTCATTGGGAAAATATGTGCCTTTCTATAGCATAAATGTTGAGTCAGATTCTAGTGCACATGTCCTCTTCATTCCTATTACAAAGTGGTCCTATAAAATGGTTGCACTCCTTTATGTCCTTATCTACAAGTAATACATTTTAATTCTCTGTACCCACTCCAATAGACCGTGCCAATTTTTAGAAAATTATATACTG